TTGATTCGCTAACTGTAGCCCTTTCGCGACCAACAGGTTGAGAACCGATGCAGAACTGTACAAAATAAAAAAAATATAAAAACTGGTATTAAATTTGTATTATGAATTGATATTTGATTTATACTTCCCAATAACTAAAACGATTCTTTATAGTAAATTCTGAAACAGTGCAGCTGGAAATTTGCTCGTCGACTTTCCTTACCAATTCAAAATCAATCGGCAAAAACACGCACATATATTTTGATGATTCAACTATCGTAGAATCGACAACCAATAAACAAACTAATCCAGTTAATACCACATCCATTCGTGATAAAAATAAATCGCCAAAAGTAATTTTTAAATGCCATTTGAATAATGATATTACAAAGCCTTTGGTTTTTCCTTTACAAGTAATTAACAGAAGCCGTAAAGCTCGGAAACCTCTAATAGATATTCAAGAAAATATACTATTACCGCCCGCCAATATCGCCATCTTAATCGAAAATGAACTTGCCAAGCCATTGAATAACGATTTTGAGAAAAACATTTTGTCTAATACTTTTGTGGCTGCAGAAAATTCAAATAATGTCGAAGCAGAAGGTGATATAGAAAACGTAAATAATATGGAAAGTAACGACCAACTAAAATCCACAAAGGATGATACTAATAATAATTTTGAGCTCACTGAAAAAGCAGAAATAAACGCAAGCATCACAAGCGAATTAGAAAAAACAAGTGATTTAGAATCCACAACAAAACAAGCCATGGAAGAAATAATACATTCGAGCAATGAAAGTAAAGAAAAAGCTGATGAAAAACATATCTCAATTGCAGGCGAAAATAATCAAAATAGAAAGTCGAGTGCAAATCATACAATGACTGAGCCTTCTGGCGATGAAAGTAAATCTCAAAAAGAGCCGGCCAACAATGAAGCTGAAATAGTCCAAGAAGAATCATTCGTTAAAATAACAGCAAACACAACGGATGCATCTAATAATTCTTTGGAATTGGAGGAGAGCTGTGTTATAGATTTAGATGATGATGAAGACGTGATTGATTTGAGTGACGCTGATGATCAACAACAGCCGTTTCAAATGACGCCGAATACTTCTAGGCTTTCAGAAACTTTAAACAAAAGCATTAGCGCAATGAGCGCCACTGAGATGCTTCCTTTCTGTACACCACTTACATCTATGCCTGCAGTGGGCGATATTGTTGTATTTAAGGTACGAAACTATAAAATCTAGTACACATAGTACTTACATATGTACTGTATATGCATGTCAAGTGTATTCATATGTATGTATGCATGTAATTTTTTATGTTTTGCAGTTCAATCGGAGAAGTTTAGAAGAGAAAAAGGATGTATCTGAATACATAGCTTGTAAATGCGAACATATAAATCGGCGGACGAAAGTTTTAAAACTCGCCATATTAGGTAAATTTTAAGTGAACTATGTATGTATATAACGCTTACATATGCGCCGTTTACCTTCAAGGTGGCATAATTCGTTTCCTTCTCTAAAATTCTAAATTGTTAGTTACTTCCAACTGAATGCATCTGTAAATTTTTCTACCGTCGTAAGCTAATGACATAACCTTTACCTTTATCTGATGAACCTGTACGAATAACAGACGCGTTCAGGCACAGTTGAATGATCGATCAATGAAGTCAAACGGCCTGAAATGTCACTTCCGAAATAAACTGCTCATATGTACCAAGGCTGCAAACCGCTCTAAATGTCGATGCGGTTAGAAAATATTTGAACTTGTACAAGAATCGGTTCATTAGTATATCAGAAACGCGCTTCAGTTCAAATTGTTACAAAGTGATACAAAATATACTATAAAATGGCAACTACTATATACATATCGACCCCTATTTTCGATTTTACCGAAAGCGGTAAAAGGCAAGTTTTACAGGACAGGCTTAAACAGTGTAATAATTTATTTGGATTTAAATGGACAACAAAATTATTGAATGCTACCTTTTGAATAGGACTATTAATTTTTTGAATACCTTATTGTCCAACTGTTTGGTGCATCTAGTAGATTGTCCACAATTTGTCTTCGGTGATGCAGTTTTAAAGCTCATTCAATTATCAAACAAACACCATATTGACAATACTATTTGATATTTTTTTACGTTTTATAAAGGAGTGAGAAAAAGAATTAAAATTTAATCCTTTACCCAGATTAGGTTCAGTGCCAAAATCTTCAAGTTAGGGAGATTTGTTGCAAGTTTCGAAATCAATTGTTATATTTTTCGCCTCGTCCTGTATTAAAAGCAAAGATTCCAATTTTATAAAAAGAAAAATCTCTAATACGGAAAAGTGGTAAAATCAAAATTTTATAAGCAATTTGAAATAATTTCGATTGTGTGCATCCATAAGACGCGATTTCAAATACAATTTAAATTTTTTTATAACGGCACAAAAAAAAGCCCGTTAAGTATCTGTTTTTCGTGCTTCTGGTATGCTTTTAGATCTTATAACCCGGGACGAAAATTTTAAGCTTTTGCTTGGAATTGCTTATTTTGCTTATTCTTTGTTTCCAAGCTTAATTTCAACGACCATGCTTATTTTGCATATTTCAATGTATAAAGCTAAGTACGGACCTTTTAAGAAAACGGTCAATAAATAAATTGCTATTATTTCGTGTGTGTGAATAGTAGTGTCCAAGAAGTTTTGACATCCGATATTTTACAGCCTGCTGTCTCACTTTTTCCTTACGAAGTAATGAAAATAAGAAAAAAAACGAGAAAACCACAGTAGAAAGCGTAGTAAATTTCTTAAGAACTCCGTACCGCTTAAGAAAATTTGGTTCAATAAATTTTTCCTGACCATTTCTTGGGCGTTTTTCTTATTCGTCGAAATAAAGAAATGTTTACAAATAATTACATTGAAACCGATTTGGTTTTTATTAACTCGTAACTTCAATTGCACTTCTGCTTGGATACAAAAATTAAAAAAAAAAAAAAAAAAAATTAAAACGACCAGCGCAGATCTCTATTATTTGAGAAGCAACACTTGATTGATTGTCCATTGTAACTTTTAAGTCCTTGACATAAATTGAATAAAAAATAAAATATTTAAAATTTTTGATGTTTTTCGAGCATATTTGCAAGCATATTTACTGAATTTGTGGATTAAGCCAAAACATTTTTTTCATACTTTTTCGATAATATAATGAATTAGACTTAATGAAATAATTGAACCAAGTTTGGTAGTAATCTATAAAGTGGTTACTGAGATACACCTTGTAGCATATATGTAATACTCCTATATTGGCAGTAAGAGCTAGTACCGTCCGAAAACAGTACAGTACAGATACATCAATAAACACGTACGAAAGGAAAGCGATACATACGTTTATAAATAAACATGTACACAACACATACACAAAAACGGCACTCACGTACACAATACATTCACAAAAACGGAACTAGAAGTATTACATACATTTAGTAGTCAGTAGTAGTAGCCTTGTAGTCATAAACTGGGCGATGCCACGTCCAATTCCTAAAAGTCTATAGCTGTCTTATTTATTGTTAAGAGATTGTTGTAACTATTAACTTGGAGTAATTTGGCGTTCTGTTATTGAAATATCGGAGTTTTCGGATGTCTGAAGTGGGTGTAATTTTAGTCCGATTTGAATAATTTTCAACGAATTTCTTTCTTGCACTAAGGTTATTAAGTGAACCGAGTTTGGTAGTAATTGATAAATCGCGGCGCCACGCCTATTTTCAAAAAAAATTATAATCTAATTTTCTGCTAAGTGGTTATTGTAATTATCGATTTTAGTCACTTAGCTTAAGTAGTTACTGATTTATCCCAGTTTTCGTGTTTCTGTAAATTACCGTTAAATGGGAAGTGGACGTGCTTATTCGCCGATTTAAAAGATTTTCCACAAATTTCTTAGCTAGATCCTAGGCAAGGCTCATCCTAGTTTGGAGATACAGCATTTCATCTTAAGTGGGCGGGGTCCTGCCCATTTTCCAAAAATATTATAACAGTACTATTTTTTACCAAAATTCTACTTCACATACCAATTTTCAACAATTTGGATCCAATATTTACTGAAATATCATAGTTTTGACATTTTTTGAAAACACCGTTATATGGGAAGTGGGCGTGGTTACAGTCCGATTTCGCCCATTTTCAATACCAACCTATCTTGGATAAAGGGAAACCTACATACCGAATTTCTATGAGGTATCTCAAGTTTTGCTCGAGTTACCGTGTACACGGACGGACGGACGGACAGACAGACATGGCTTAATCGACTTCTCTATTCATTGTGAGCATTTATGTATACATTTGTTTATATATACCCTTGGGCACAAGTGCGCTCGGAATCGGACATCAAATAGAAAGTTACAGGAAAAAACCCGATTCAGTGGAAAGTAACTTTCGATTTCGTATTTTTACAGCAAAACGCGTAGAAAAGCGCTTGCATTGCCACGTTTAACCATTTAAAAACAATTAATTCTTTTTTTTAAGTGTAGATATTTCATTTATTACTTAACTTAACTTAACTTAAACTTAAGTTTCTTGATGTCTGCCAGAAGAAGTTGGTGTTCGACAAGTAGTTGAGTACCAGAAATTTAGAGATATATAATATTAACGAAAAATAAATATTCCAATGTGCAATTTTTGTTTTTGGTATCTTTCTATATTTTTTAACCAGGATTATAAAGAAATTAACGGTTAAAAATTACTTGTTCGTTTTTGCCCATAAAACATTATTATAAACTTTATTTTCTATTAAGATTTAATATTAACAGGATGGTTTTTTTCTTCCAGATGCAAGTCTCGAAAAGGATATTATTCCACAACATTACGTCTACAATTTAGACGAATCATTAGGTGATAGATTTATGAGCATAAAGTTTCCGGAAATGCTCGATGCTAAAGTGATGCAGACTTAGTAGAATTTGTTTATGAAGTTTAAAAAATAAATTGTTTTTGTGTAAATGTTGCTCTTTTATTGCTTTAAATGACTATATAAGCGTAACATATGGGTGGTCCGAAAATGCATGTGAAAAAGTAAAGTCGGAACTTTTATGCCCTCACCCCTTGGATTGTTCTAATGTACATACATACATACATGCATATATCAATAATAATAGTAATAGATTGGCGATAACGACTCGATTTTCGGTACGAATTCTTGAGCTTAAATTCACTCCATCAGTGCAAAAGTTGAGTCCACGCTTAAGCTCACTTTATGCATGAGGCCCATTATGTTAAGTGTTCGGCCGAGCTTCTCTTCCGATTTGTGGTGTGCGCGCTTTGATGTTGTCCCACAAAAGGAAGGGACCTACAGTTTTACGCCGATTCCGAACGGCGGTTGTATTTTTATGAGAAGCTGCTTTTCATGTCTGAATAAAATCGTAGGTTTGCCATTGCCTGCCGAGAGGCAACGCTATTAGAAAAAAAAAACTTTTTATGTTCTATTTTTTGATGTTGGCCGGAAGCCGAGCTTGAACCCAGGCCTTGTGGATTGGTAGCGCGCACTGCTAACCACTACACCTCAGAAGCCTTAGATATATGTGTCTATATTATGACCGACGCATTGCCAACATCGTGTTTATTTCCCAAATAATTATACGAGTACGGTCTATTATTTCGCGTAATTGTCGATTTTTTAATCTGACTGTTTCGATTAGTTCCTGATTTTCTTGTAGCGCCTTACGATATTCATCGCATTGTGTGGGTTCGGTGCGATGATCTGGCTGTTCCTCCTTGTAGGTTATCAAACTCTCAACGTTAGTGTAGTCCATACCATGAGGGTACCCGTCATTACATTTTTCGTAAATAATGCGTACACGCTTGAATAATAATCTAATGGTGCGAAAGTATTCTTGTACTTTTTTCTCAGTATTGTTATCCCGGTTTGCAGTCGGTTGTATGATTTTCAATGCAGTAAATATCTCCTGAAAACGTGATGTTATATCCTGAACAGTTTCTTGACCTAATCGCGATAAAGCTACAATATTGATTTCTTTATGAGGATTTGGCTGTGAAATAGCTAACATATTGCTGCCAGTAGCGGCTATGGTTTGTGGTGTAGTTTGTTGGGTATGCATTATCCCTACCGGATTAGTTCCCGTCATCTGTGCCTGCTGTTGCATGCCAATTGCTATTTGCTGTTGCTGTGCATGTTGTATGATATTACTCGTGGAGACCGCGCCAATCCCAGGCCCAACACCTATCATGCCAGTACTTACTGGTGGACCTCCAGTGCCACCTTGCACCATCTGTACATGTTGCTGCATCTGCTGTTGTTGTATATTCATTGGTGTGTTCATTAGACTTCCCGGTCCGCTCATTCCCATACCACTCGGTATTTGTTGCTGTTGGGGATGGTAACCACCCATGGGCATCATACCACCACTGCCAGCACTTATTTGTCCACCAGCCGCTCCGGCGATCATTGTATTCTGTCCCATTCCATGATTCATCATTTGGGGGGACTGTTGCTGTTGTGGATTAAATTGACCACGATGGCCACCAAGCGGACTATTATAACCGCTAGGATACTGTCCCGACATCTCGCAAAGTGATTTTATGTATAATTAAATAATTAAAAATTTTATGCAAAAATTAACAAGCAACAGCAAGAAACAGTGCAATTCTTCAACCCTTAGTGATGTGCTGAATTGCCGGTACCCAATACTTCAGGAAGATTTCGGTACCCAATACTTTCTTTTGGGAACCCAATACCGATTATATACACTCATTAAACTTCCGACATAAAATACATTTCCCGATAAGAAAAAAATAATAATTGCTATTATATATGTATATGTATGATATTGCCTAAATAACAATGTGGCGTATTCATAGTCAAAATAAAGCCGACACTTAAGAGCGAAATACACCACACAAGCGGCTTGTCAAACATTCTTCAAACCTACTTTTCCCATTTCGCCATACACCATGCAAACATGACTCGTTCAAGCAAAGAATTTTAGTTTTCTTCCAGTTCGCAATGCTAAATATTATGGTTTTCTTTCATTTTCCTCTCTTACGTCCTTACTCGGTGAAAATTTCGTTGCGAATGAGGCGATTTTGCTATACACAACGCAAGCGGTTTGATCAAACATCAACATGGCGGCCAGAAAATCAAAAAATTTTGATTTTTTGCTCAAATTTCCCTCAAGCGGCTTGTCAAACCTTAAAGCACCCCCATACACAGCTCAAATGGCTTGAAGCAAAGGGAAATTTCGCTTGGTTTGTCAAACCGCTTGTGTGGTATATTTCGCTCTTTAAGCAGCTGCAGCATTTTGACATAATTTTTAACAGAATATCTGTGTTTTATTATGTAGAGCGTGTGTGAATCGATAACAAAGTTCGCGACGAGTAAATTTTTGACAACTATGAGGTGAATAAAATTTCAGTAGCTCGTGAGTCTAGTGAAATTTTTGACAAATGCATAGAAAATTTTGACAATCGCAAAGATTGTTGATGTGTATAATTTTTCGTTAAATAAAAGCTTAAATTGATGAATTGCTATCAACGATGGTAGATGTTTTCTTAAAATATTAATTTCACTTCAATTTGTAATATTTTATTCCGCATAAATCTGCGGTTATCAAAAATTTACTGCTGTCAAGAAATATTTCATTTCACACAGCAGATTGACAAAACAGTCTCATCATAGTAAAAATATTATTCAAAAGCTTTCCCCATAGAACTTTGTTACCGATTCACACACGTTCGTAGTTATGTAAAATATACCAAAATTAATTTTGAAAAGTCCGTGGACTGCCCGCCAGTTAGAAATTCTTTTCTGCGTCATATTTCCCTCGTATCCTTTTCTTCCCTGCCAGCCAAAAGTGGTGACAAATCTGGTGAAACCGCGGGTTT